AATAATAAGAAAAATGGCAAATTGATTTTGGTTCCCCATGTTTTTTTCAAGATTATAATCCACATTTATGTATTAAACTGGCACAGAAAGTCTTGACTGAGATGGAAATAATTCCAAACTTTTACTGGTTCCCAAGAGTTTATTGTCACAAGTGTTGGGAAACATCTGGAGATTTTAGGGGTGGTGCCCGTGGAGAGTGAGGTTTAGGGAGGGGATGAACTTCAGTGGGGTATAATGCCATAGAGTCCACTTTCCAAAGCGGTCATTTTCTCCAGGTGAACTGACCTCTGTTACATTTTAAAGGAATATGCTTTATGGCAACTTGGCATCACTTTTGTAGCACAGCAAGTCAGCAAGAAACATCATTTTTAGTTACATGAAAACACTAAACTCAGTACAAAAAACAGAAGAGCTAGGCCCAAGCATGTCAAGGTGAAATAACTTTTGTAATTTGTTTACACATTCAAAGTTTTTATAAATAAATAGCTCCTAGATAATTAAGTCTGTTTTGTGAGAACTGTATACTTGGCTTGTTGTTTTATTTTGTTGTACTGTATTGTTTTAGCTGTGCTATATTCACAACATAGTCTGCCAGGAATCAGCTGACAGACTATAATATAAACTATAATATAAAACTAATCTATAGTTTTGTGGTCTTTTGCATTCCTGAACTGTTTTCTGTCTCTTAAGCCTCTTTATTTTTGAAGACCGAAAACCTCTGTCAGTTGCTAATACGTTTCTACAAGTGGGGACCTGCAAGAAACTTGCAGGAGCAGCTATCCCATTTCTCCCACCTCTACTTCTTCCCCTCTCCCCCTACTTCTCTCATACTCTTTCTCCTTCCTGACACCCCTTTTCTTACTCTCGCTCTCTCCCCTCCATGTTTGTCACTTCCTTTCTGCCCCATCCCATCACTCTTTCTGCCCCTGTCACTCTCCCAGCCTCCCACCTACTTCCCCCCCCAGCAGCAGAGGCAGCAGCCACTCTCCAGGAATCACAATGGATTGCCCAAATACAGATATCAGTTCCTCTTAGGGTTGCCAGCTCCATGTTAGGAAGTTCCTGGAGATTTGGGGATGGAACCTTGGGAGGATGAGGTTTGAGCTTGGAAGTGACCTCAGCAGGGTATAATACCATAAAATCCACCCTTAAAGCAGCCATTTTCTCTGGAGGAACTGATCTCTGTCATCTGAAAATCAGTTGTAATTCCAGGAGATCTCCAGCCCTCACCTGGAGGTTGGCAACAGTAGTCCCCCTGGAGGAAATGTCTGCTTTGGAGGGTGGAGTCTATGGCATTGGATCTGTCTGAAGTCCATCCTCAGGCTCCACCCCTCAAATATCCAGGAATTTCCCAACCTAGAGTTGGCATCCCTATCTCCCCCCCCCCAACAGCCAACCTACCTTTATCTGCCTCTTTGCCTTTCCCCCAACAGCCTTTACTGAGGAAAACTATGGTCTTTCTCCACAGTGCGGACTAAAGCAGTTTACATTATTCTCTCCTCGTTTTTATCCACACAACAACTCTGAGGTAGGTTAGGCTGAAAGTGTGTGACTGGCCTTTCATAGGGTGGCTACTGTTGAACAGTAGCAAGCAGTCAGGCCTAGTTGACTCATGCAAGTCAGATGGTATCAAGTCACCCAGAGGGTGCTGCTAGGCCTAGGTTTGCCAGCCTCCAGGTGGGACCTGGAGATCCCCCAGAATTACAGATGAACTCCAGACAAGAGAGATCTGTCCCCCTTCAGAAAATGGGTAGACTCTGTGGCATTATATCCAGCTGAGGCCTCTCCCCTTCCCAAACTCTTCTGCACTCCTCAGATTTCACCACAGAATCTCCAGGAATTCCCCAACCGTAGGCAATCGTAGTCCCAGGCAATGTTCCCTCTAAGCTATGGAGCCCTGTGAGCAAAAATTCTACTTTGTGAGCTACTAGCATTAAAGTTGTGAGCAGGTGATTTGGCTACTGCAATGATTAGTTTTATCTGGAGCTATCCTTCCTGAGCTAAGACAAAAATGAGTGAGTCAGAGGCTAAAAAACTGTGAGCTGGCTCACACTAACTCAGCTTAGAGGGAACACTGGCCCAGGCCTGGCTCCAAAGAGAGAACATAAACAATATAATTTCAAAAATCTGGATAAAAGTTATAATAAGCAGCTATTTTAAACACATCATCCTTCATGGAACTGAATAAATGTTATATAATATTAAATATTATATTCAACACATTTTTCACACAAGTTGCAGTACAAGTTACAATAAACCTGTCATTTATTCGAGAATCAAGCTGTCTCAATCAAGAGTTATTTGTGCACCGAAATAAACCATAGCCAAAGATGATAGCTACCTCAGTTTTTTATTTGGATAATTATGATCTAAATTCATACTAGTCTATGACTGCAAGTTAGTATATAGATCTTATGACCTTGGATTGTGCTGTGGTAGTAATTTTTAAATAGTGGGGGGGTTTGCAGTAATCTTTTACAGTAATCTTTTATTTTTACAATTTTAAACATTTTTGGCGTACAGAATATAATTCATAGCTCGCTATCAGTCCATGACACTCAAATTATTCTCTCATTGGCAAGCCAGCAAGATGTGATAGCATTTTAGACAAGATTTGTCTAAAGATCTATAGCTTTAGTATTTTTAGCAACTAGCTTTCCAAGGGGTCACCTTTGAAAAGTATCTCCTAATCAGAATCAGTCTAGCTTGTCCACTCTCTCTTGTATTTGCAAACTGCATTAATAATTTAATATTTTATCTGAAAGAAGTATCCTACCATTTAGATGGGGGGAAATACTTAATTGTCTGAATGTTCACCTTTTGGGACTCCTCTTTTTTTACAAAGCCAGTTTGATGTAGTGGTTAAGTGCGTGGATTCTAATCTGGGAGAACCGGGTTTGATTCCCCACTCCTCCACTTGCACCTGCTGGATGATCTTGGGCAAGCTATAGATCTGGCACAGCTGTTCTTGAAAAAGAGCAGTTTATATCAGAGCTCTCTCAGCCCCACCTACCTCACAGGGTGTCTGTTGTGGGGAGGGGAAGGGAAAGGAGTTTGTAAGCCACTCTGAGACTCCTTTGGGTAGTGAAGGGCGGGGTATAAATCTAATCTCCTCCTCCTCCTCCTCCTCCTCCTCCTTTTCTTCTTCTTCTTCTTTAATGTGGGAATATTTGGAATGTCATCTCCCTGTCTGTATAGCAAAAATGGCTGGTTGAGTAGCCATTGGCACATATAATAGAAGGCAGGGTTATGCTTATATAGCTTCATAATACACATATGTACTTTTGTTCCATGACTCACAATTTTTTGGTGTTTAGAGTATTGGCTTTTGTTTAAGAGACTGATAAAATGTACACATTCAAGATGCATGTACAAATTCAACACACACACAATTTCCTTATAAATAAAAAATTATATAATAAATATATTGATTTAAAGTGGTTATGTTTTCACTGGAAATTGCAAACAGTTTTGCTAAAAGTATGACATAAATCAAATTATTTTCTGTGTTGCTTACTCTCACAGAAACAGGGATCCCAGCCCCTCGGTCTGTAAGGGGGATCACCCAATTTGGAGCGGACTTTCCTGGCCCCAAATGATGTTTTGGGGCCAGTTCTGGTAAAACTGTAAGTACTGCCCCCAATGTGATGATGTCACCCGAGAGTGACATCATCGTACCAGAAATGTTGCACAGGGACACTCTGATATTTGGGCAAACTCTGGTTTTGAGGGTGAAAAACCATACAGTTTTGCCCAAATACCAGGGCATCCCTGTGCAATGTTTCTGGTGCAATGACTTCACTTCTGGGTGATGTCATTGCATTGGGGACATCTTGTGATATCCCCCCCACCTCCTGGAATGCCCCCAAAAGCCCCCCTGCTGGCAGAGGTAAGGGACATGGCAACCCTAGAAACAGTCTAACTCCATTCAGATGTCATGATGAAATTAAAGCAATGGGCCTTTAGACAAATCTTGTCTAAAATGCCTTCACATTTTGCTGGCCTGCCAATGAGAGAATAATTTAAGTGTCATGGACTGATAGTGAACTACAAATAAGCAAACTATCATTTCCATTTACATTATTTTCTTAAAGGTCTTGCACCATTTGTTGCTAAGTACAACTGTACAATATAATTTAAAATAATACAAATAATCTCTACAGAAATCCCAGTACTGATTTGATTCGCTTTTATTATCCAAGGTCATGTTTTTGAAAATAAAGTGAATATTGTATGATAACTCAATGCAGGAAAAAAGTTAGTGCTGTCATTAATTTTTCTCAAAAAAAAGTATGATGGCAACTGTTTTCTGCATGTTTTCTCATATGTTTATTTCTAAGCAACTATTAAGTGGTAATTTAACTTTCTTCGAAAAACATCCAGTGTTAGAACTTTCACAGCTTCTCAGGGTAACCTTTTCATTGCTTAATTGTTTCAATTAAGAAAGTTTTCTTAGTGTTCCCAAATAGGGTTGCCAACTGTAGGCTGGGAAATTCCTGGAGCTCTGAAGGTGGATCCTGGGGAAAACGATGGTTGGGGAGTGGAGAGACCTCAGTGGAGGATAATGCAACAGAGCTTATTCTCTAAAGCAGCCATTTGCTCCAGGAGAACGTATCTCTGTAGTATAGAGTAGTAATTTCTGGAGATCTCAAATTCCCACCTGGAGCTTGGCAACCCTATTCCCAAAATATCCCAATTTATTGTTCATATCCACTGTTTGGATGGTAGGATTCAAGTTATCAGCACTTTGTAACACATAACACCAATCAGTGGACTTTAGTTGCATATTTTATAACAGAAAATACAATATGATGTTTTCATCTACTGATTTTATATTGTTTAGGTAAGGTTACTGCTTCATAAAGCAGTTCGATTGGGAAATAGGCCTGAATGACTGAAATTGTGCAAGGTCTGAGTAGGAATAAAGCTATTTAAACCAGGTAAATGATAGGACAATATAAATAGATAAGATATTTAATTGTTTTTGTTTTGCTGTCTAGCGGCAAGAGAAGTTGCATGGTTGGAAAAAGAAGAGAGAGCAAGGCAATATTACGAAAAGCATCTAGAAGAGCGCAAAAAGAAATTAGAAGAGCAGAGGTTAAAAGAAGAGAGAAGACGAGCTGCAGTTGAGGAGAAACGAAAACAGAGAATAGAAGAGGACAAGGTAAGAGGACTTTTGCAAGGGGAAGTACTAGTGTTGGTTGTTCAGTCGCACAGTCGAGTCCGACTCTTCGCGACCCCATGGACCGGATCACGCCAGGTACTAGTACTAGTGACTACTAGGGAAATGTAGCAGTGACAACCAATTTACCTGAAGGACTGATAGTTCAGAATTAACCAATCTATCAGGAAAATAGTACTTTATTAGTTCATACATGAAAGGAGTAAGTGAGGCCTGTTTGCTAACCAGCAAAATGTTTTATGTATGAACTGAATGGAAACTTAGCTGTTGCAACCACACTAGTGTTTAGTACCATATGGCTAACCTGGACCATATCTGCTTATCCATGGCTTGTTCACTCATACACAGCTTGAAATACATAGCCGAGTACCATAGAAAGCCCCTGGCAGCTGTGGTCTCAAAACTAGCCATTAGGGTTGCCAAGTCCATCTTCCACCCCCAGCGGGGGACTTTGGGGGCATTCCT